CTTTATTTATAACAGTTTCGAAATATGTAAATCTACCAACTACCTATATTTAACGGTTTAGGTAAAATCACTAACCGCTATCCTAAAATCACTATACCAAATGGGGACTTAGTATGATTATAGAGAAAAAAACAAAGATCCATTAAAGTACAATTATTATTCATTGAAATCCCATGTTTACCCCATTAATAAAAAAAATTGGCAAGTTGAGACGTGGTTCTTTTTTTTTTTTTTAATAAAAGAAATGGAGTAATTACTAATAGGGATAAAGTTGGAAAAAAAACTTTCATACTATTTTTAAAATGAAAACAAATAAATTTGTCAATCTCTTTTTAAAAAGTGTGAAAAATAAAATAGATTTAAGCAAATATACATATATATATATATATATGTATATATGTATTTATAGAGACATGATCTACTATTTTAATTACATTGAAAGCTATGCTGTGTTAATTATGTGTCAAAACTCATAAAAAGCACTTTTTATTTTCCTTGGATATTTGATTATATAAATTAATAGTTACAAGAACCAAAATAAGGGACCAAGAATAGGGTATTTTTGAAAATTTAGCATTACATTTTTAACACAAAATTTACATATAATGTTAAATTAATTAGTAAGAGATAGAATAGTTCTTATTGTATTTAACTTACATATTTTTTTGTTATTTTATCAATATCCCTTTTCATGTGCAAGCTCAATATGAACTTTGAATTATGTCAAGTGAATCTTGGGTTATAAACTTAAGAGGGCCTCCTCATGAGCAAGTCTAATCTGTTATGTGAATTTTGGGTTAATTAACAAACAGGTTTAATATGCCCTCTTCTAATGCAAGCTTGAAATGTCATTGGATTTCGAGACTTCCACGAGCAAAGATTGGGCTTTGGTACCACATAAAATTTCAACATGTGGACGCCATTCATGGGAAGCCTAGGATTTTCTAACATGTGGATGTTAGAAAATGCAGATCTATTTGGGGTGGGGATAACTGTAAGTGGGTTATGAAATCAGCTCAAGGGAGAGCCGGAGGGATTTTATGCATGTGGAATTCTAATTTGTTTGAAATAAGTAATGAACTAGTGGGAAGTGGGTTTTGTGGCATGTATGGATTTTGGGGGAAAGACAAAATGCCTTGTTATTTTCTGAACGTATATGCTCCATGTGAGAATCATGGTAAACAGTTGCTTTGGACAGAGATTTCAAATTTAATGAATGTGTATGGTGAAGGGAATTGGTGCATAGGAGGTGACTTTAATGCAATTCGCAATAGGGAAGAAAAAAGGGGAAGATCTTTTGATGACTTAGCCATGAGAGCCTTTAACTGTTTTATTGAGGAAACAGGGCTAGTAGATTTGCCATTGAGGGGAAGGAAGTTCACATGGTTCAAGTCTGATGGAACAGCAATGAGTAGGTTAGATGGATTCTTGGTGTCCACAGAGTTCCTTATTAATTTCCCAGAACTCATTCAGAAAGGTTTAAAAAGAGATATTTCTGACCATTGCCCTATAGTGCTAATCAGCTCCAGCATGGATTGGGGGCCAAAGCCCTTTAGAAGCCTTGACTGTTGGCTAGAGCTTAAGGAGTTTAGTTCTTTTGTCCAGGAAAAATGGAACAGCTATAAAGTGGAGGGATGGGAAGGATTCAAGCTGAAGGAGAAATTTAAATTGCTGAAGAATGATTTGAAGAAGTGGAATAAAGAGGTATTTGGCCACATTGACAGGAAATTGGAGGAAATTAGAGATGAGATAAAGAAGCTTGATGATAAAGCCGAGAATGGAGTGATATCTAGTAGTGAGATTGAGCAGAGACAAACTTGCTTTCAACAATTTTGGGAATGGTGTTCAAGGAAAGATAGCTTGTTGTTCCAGAAGTCAAGACAGAAATGGCTTCAAGAAGGAGATGCTAACAGTAAATTCTTCCACGGGTGTATAGCTAAGAGAAGAAAGATTAACGGGATTTATGGGATTATGAAGAATAATGTCTGGATTGGGGAAGTTTCAGAGGTGAAAACATTCATCAAAGAATACTATGAACTAAAGTTCCAGGAGGATGAATGGAACAGACCTAGCATTGAGTTTAATGATTTGAAACAACTGAGCTCAGAAGAGAACAATTGGCTGACTGCACAGTTTACAGAGGAAGAAATAAAGGAGGCCGTGTGGAACTGCAACGGAAGTAAAAGCCCTGGACCAGATGGATTCAACTTCAACTTCATTAAAAGAGTATGGCCAACTATAAAGAAGGATGTAGTGGCTTTTGTCAAAGAATTTTGGGTGAATGGGAAGTTGGTGAAAGGAAGCAACTCGTCTTTTATTGTCTTAATCCCAAAGAAAGAATCTCCCTAGGGATTGGGGGATTTTAGGCCTATATCCCTGATTGGATGCTTGTATAAAATAATAGCTAAACTTCTTGCCAATAGATTGAGGAAAGTGATGGCGCCTATCATTAGCCAAAATCAGTCAGCATTTGTAGGAAGAAGACACATTGCTGATGGCATCGTGATAGCTAATGAAGTCATTCATGAAGCAAAAAAAAGAAAGAGGCCCACATTGATATTTAAAGCTGACTTTGAAAAAGCATATGATAGTGTCAACTGGAATTTTCTAGACTTGATGATGGAAAAGCTAGGATTCTGCTTGAAATGGAGAAGGTGGATCAAGGAATGCTTATCTACTTCATCGGTATCAGTTCTGATAAATGGTAGCCTCATAGAGGAATTCAGTATGAAGAAGGGACTGCGACAAGGTGATCCATTAGCCCCATTCTTATTTCTTCTGGTTGCTGAAGCACTTAATGGGCTTATTCTCAAAGCAAAAGAGAAAGAGATGTATAATGGAGTAGTGGTGGGAATAGAAGGACTGGAGGTCACTCACCTACAATTTGCTGATGACTCTATTTTCTTTTGTGAGGCATCAGATGAGAATATAAAGACAATCAAGGGGATTCTTCGTACTTTTGAACTGGTTTCAGGGCTCAAGGTGAATTTTTTCAAAAGTGCCTTATATGGAATCAACGTGAAGAGTGAGGAGATCAGTGAATGGGCCGTATCTCTTAATTGTGTGGTGGGTTCTATCCCTTTCAAATACCTTGGAATCCCAGTCGGTGCTAACCCGAGAAACCTATCAACTTGGACACCTGTGGTTGACTGCTTGAGACGTAAATTGTCAAATTGGAAATGTGATTCGCTATCCTTCGGTGGTAGAATCGTTCTGTTGAATGCTGTCCTATCAAGTATCCCTGTCTATTTCTTCTCCACTATGAGAGCCCCTAAACAGGTTATTAAACTGCTTTCCTCAATTCAAAGATCATTTTTATGGGGGGGTAAAGAGGGGGATAGGAAGATTGCTTGGGTTAGTTGGGAGATAGTATGCAATAGTAGAAAGAATGGGGGTTTAGGTGTTAAGGACTTGGATAGATTTAACATGGCACTATTAGGAAAGTGGCGATGGAGATTGGTGGTGGAGAAAGAAGCTTTATGGAATAGGGTAGTTGAGGCCAAATATGGGTTTCGTAGGAGAAGGGATTGGGAGGGGAGGGAGGTAAAAACGAATAGCTCATTTTGGTGGAAGGCACTGTGGAAATTAGATGAAGAAAGAGGAAGTAATGAGGGATGGGTGTACAAGGGAGTAGTAAAAACAGTGGGGGAGGGGAATGATACCTTGTTTTGGCATGAGAAATGGTGTGGGGATGTGCCTTTTAGGGAGAAATTCAATAGATTATTTAGATTGGCAGAAGATAAGGATGCTTTAGTTAAAAACATGGGGGAATGGAGAAATGGAGAATGGATCTGGAAATGGAGGTGGAGTCGGGAATTGCTAGGTCGTGAAGTTACCCTTGTACAGGATCTTAACAGTCTTCTACATGGGAGCAAGCTGGAACAAGGAAAACAAGACTCCTGGAGGTGGAAGCATGAATCGAAGGGATCTTACTCAACAAAATCTGCTTACATCCTATTAAATAGCAGCAATAGAGAGACAGACGCAAGAAGGTTTAGTATGTTATGGAATAATAAGGTGCCTCTTAAAGTCTCTGCATTTGTATGGAAAGTTATGCGAAACAGAATTCCCACTTGAGATAACCTACTAAAGAGAGGAGTTGATGGATCAAATACTAATTTTGCATGCATCTTTTGTGGCAAACAAACTGAAACAGTCAGCCATTTGTTCTTCACCTGTGATGCAACCTGGGCAATTTGGCATGCAGCTTATGAGTGGTGGGGATTGCAGGCTGTCTTTACGTGTGAAGGCTGGAAGCATTTGCAGCAACACATGGGTATGGTGCAAAACAAGAAAGTGAAGGAAATTTGGTATGTGATATGGTTTACAATTATTTGGTCCATTTGGCTGTGGAGAAATCAACTAATTTTCAAAGAAGGTAAAGACACTCCAGCTATGGTGGTGGAATTAATTAAGCTGCGTTCACTTAATTGGATTAGGGCCAAGCACAATACAGATTTGGCTAAGGAATTGTGGCTTGTGAACCCCAGGGAAGCATGTAAATGAAAAGGATTTTTTACTATACTTGCACTGGGATTGAAGGGTAATATGTAAAATGATGTAAAGGGTGGAGTACCCCTTGTACTCATATTTTATTTCTAATAATATTCATTTTGCCGATCAAAAAAAAAAAAAAATAGTTTGAGCTTGCATAAGGGGTTGTCATTATGCCGACTTGTAAACTTGATATCTGCACATGATAGATTAGACCTATACATATACATGAGGAGGGGCTTAAGTCAGTAACTGGAGATCGAGGTGACAGAACTTGAAGTTCAATCCAATATGTTAAAGTGAAAACGTCTCACATTTAAAAGATATTAGAAAGATATGTGAATTAAATAAAAAAGAGGTTAACCATTAATTACCAATTAAAGTTTTAGATGTAAAATTTGTGTTGAATCTCACTTCTTCTTTTTTTTCGTTGTAGAATAATAGATATTTTATGATAAGAATTTATCTTAGAATTATAGTCGTATTTCAAATTTTAGAGACAAATATTTTTTTCCAAGTTTATTATATTTTAACTTTAATAATTCATCTTATTATAAAAAAATTTCTTTATTTCTATTTTTTAA